AGACGTTTAAGAATAATATAGACATGCACCCTAGCTGTTTAGCTATAGTATAACCTGACTGTCCACATTTATAACCACCACGAGTTTTGGAAGTAAGTACTTTCATATTTGACATGAACTTATTTAAAAGAGGAAAAAGTTTGGGGTATTGTTTATCGTCATAAGTAAAAAATGACGTATTGTTTTAATTATGTAATCACGTAACGATCGATCAGCCTAATTTTGACAAATCAAAATGTCCCGCATAATTTTGGTCGTTGACTGTAACATTGTTACTTCAAATGTTAATTCGAATTGTTTATCTGAAGTAACATAAAATAATCTGTGTATTGAAACTCTCCCGTATGTAATATAGTAGTGGACGTGTTCGATATGAATTTTTTCTGGCAAAAATGTTTTGCTATCAAACAATTATAGTACATTTTCCATTAAAAGCCGGAAACTTCAAACGCTTACGTACCGGACGTCCATTATAAATGATTGATGCAGCGACGCAATGGTATATAAACTTTATTTTTATTTTTGAATAAATGAATTGAAACATACGAATGATGTAATTTTCAATAATTGCATACCGTGATCATAGTATTTATTTCTTGAAGGTAAAAAAAAAAAATATTTGCAGAATATTTTTTTTTTGTCAAAATTGTAAACAAGATCAATTAATATAAATTAATAAAGTTCGTTTCACATGTTTATTTTTTATGGGAAACAAGTTGTAAATAGTGTAAAAGTTTCTCTTTGTGTAAAATTACGGTTTATGTTTTGAATTATGGAAATGTAACTTTTTTTTTTTAAAAAAAAAAAAAAAAAAAATTAACGGTGTAAGCTTGGTAACTGTAAAAGAAAACGATTCACATTAATTCAATAAGTCAAATTAAATACAATACTTTTATCACAATCGCCTATGTGAAGAAACTAAATAGCAAATTAATTGATAAGATTCCTTTAATGAACTCTTGGTTTATCCTAAAATCCTATCTCGAGTTATCTTCAACTCAAGGGAAAAATACATGATATTTATACAAGTTAAATGCTAATAATAAAATATAACTAATAAAATATAAATGATAAATATAATAATAATAAATATAAGAAATATAATAACTTTTACTAACTAACAAATATAATGAATATAAGAAATTTAAATAATAGATCAACAATGACTGACCACTTTATTATATTATTTCGTTCATAAAGAAATGTTTAAATTTATGTGAGCTTTGAATTTTTGCCAGGATTACGAGTATGATTACTTTTCATGTCGATTTAAGTAGTATATCACATACTTAATTTGGAAGAACTTCAAGCTTTTTTATGCCTTTATTACATCATTATTCAGAACAAGTCTTGAAAATTCAGTTTAGCTTCCTACAATAACAAAATATATTTTCACAGTTTTAAGTCATTGGCCTCAATATTGGAAGTAATATTGTTATTTTCTTCTCTACTTCGAAGTTCTTCTTTAATATTATCGTATCGCATCCATATCAAGAAAGATGGAACGTAAGGTAACATCCAACACTTAATCCTAGAAAAGGTTAACCATACTTATAAAAGCTTTATACATTTTTATATTTCAATTACAAATAGATCCTTTCCCATGGTCAATCCAATAATTTTTAGATTATAGTACACACCTACATCCCCATGCATCCATTATGTCTAAAATCACAGAAATTTGATTATTACACAAACCATTTTATCGCAGTGTTCAAGTGGTCGGATAATATGCAATACTCATTGACATTTGCAATATCACTATAGGCCGCATATGCTTCTCAAATCAAGAAATCTATTGATTTCATCGAAATTCATCAGTAGAGAGAAAATTATATGATCTTCCGAGGGAATTGTAGTTGGCAGACGTGTGTTGTAACGAGAACCAGTGCTGTTTTCCGTTAGCAAAGGGTCCAAACCAATACGAGAAATGTTACGAATTCTGGATCAAAATATCGAATAACATAGTTAATATTAAGAAAAACAAAGTTTATAAAGATGGATATGCTTATCACCTTGATAAAATCCGGATAACCAAATTCTTGAACCAAATTATGATGCAACTGGGCAGTTTCATCTCCCAAAATTATAATCGGTTTTTTTTGACATCTTTCTCATAAAGCATGCTAAAAACTCCTCTTTGTTAAAGTATTAGATAATGGGTAACAAGGACGTAGTGTATTATTTTCAGACGTTAATGTATTTGTTAATTATCGGCAATAAGGTCCATCTGGACATAGTTCTAATAATTAAATGTTTCATTTCGTGAACAACCATTCCTATGACCATATTAATAAATTCCAGGAGGAACTACGGACCAGAAAATGTTGTTTTTTTTAAAATACGGTAGACTACATTTCTACTAAGGTATTTGTTTAAAATCACTGCCCAAATTGAGTAGTGATGACATTCAACCAAGTGATATAATTAATTCCAACCATTTGAAAAAGCCTCTTTAAAGGTAATTTGTATAATTTGAACACTTTTCCGTCCATCAGCAGGTTGTACTCGATCAACTAAATGATAGACCATGATTCCCTCAAAAAAGGTTTAAATATGAGGTTCTCTATTATTAAGTCATTAATAACATTATTATAACAGTAATAAATGACCTACCTTATTCCAATAAGGTCCAACAAAAAAGTTCTGGTTAAAGCTTGAACAGCAGCTATAAAGGCTTGAACATCGGTTTACTAGAAATAAAAATCTTCAATGGAGGAGGAATGGTCTGATAACTATCATTTTCAGCGGGTTTATCGAAAGAAATTTGTTGGTAAGTACGAATCAATACAGCTTCCTTGTCGACTCACTAAATATGACCGGGCCTTTAATTGTATCAGACACCAAATAATCAAGCGACTACGGCGTTCCATGGATACAGGGTTATCAAAAAAAGATTGGTTTAATTTCCATGCCTATCAGCTGATTATTTCATTTACCATAAAAGACTTTACCATAAAAGACTTTAGCCGTTTTAAAATATTCGTTAACCAGTGTATTAACCGACTTAGAAACATCTTGATTCATGTAATTAATTTTTTTTTAAAAAAACAAAATTTTCGGTCTACTATGTGTTCACACGCACACGAAAATTCTGAATACTTATTGAAAAATAAATTACAATTTAAAAATCAGCAATTATTTTAATTATTTCTTGATAAAAATGATCAAATAGTAATTCTTCTATAATTTCCGATATATTTATCAAACGTTTCCTAAATAAGTCCCTTATTTTTTATTTAAAATATGTAATTTAAATTTGTATTTCAACTTACATGGTGCTTTTAATCCAGAATTTTTATGTATTGTTATTAATACTTTTTTAAGGGTTTTGATATAGTTGATTATGATACAAATTGGTAAGCAAATTTATTTACCAACCGAAAGTCCTTTGAACTAAAACAGGTTAATAATGAGATGTTATGATTAAATACCGAAACAGGAGTTTATTGAATTTTTTTTTTTTTTTTTACAGAAATTAGAGATTAACTGGACAATAAATGATTGGTTACCATTCATGAATATTCACGACATACGTATAATGCATGATGATTTTTTAATAAGAACAGCAGATTGCTCATGATTTCTTATGATTCAACCGACAGACGTTTTATTTACAATTATTGTCGACCATTTACGAAATAATTCATTGTATGTATACATCAATTTCTTATAAATGTTATTTTTTGAACTTTCGGTTTTTTTACTCCACATTTTAATAAAATTTATTATTCTACGAGATCAAGAGTTGAAGAGAGGATATACCAGTACATATCTTTTGTAAAAATTTATTATATATAGTTTATATTTTTTTTTTAAAAAAATTCTTGGATGATCGACGTCAGTTCAGTATATCGATATCAATATCAACATCAAATTATATTTATGCAAATTGATAACAATTACCTTATTATTATTTTGTAAATACTCATTTTATTTTATCAAATACAAGTCACCTTATATCATTTTATCTTAATTCTTATTAACCGATTAGATGAATTTCCAAAGAAACTTCAATTTGTATCAGATCCAAAATTTACAAAATTGTTAGGTAAACGTTATATTGGGATTGCTTTTAGTACAAAATTCTCTGAAGAATTAAGACATTTGTCGATAAATAGGGGTTTGATAACTGTATTTCTAGGTGGTGACCGTTATCAGGTAGAAATTCCTGAAAAAGTATCCACCTACTGGAAATTATAATCTGGTTTAAATAAGTTAATTATTGCTTTATAATTTGTAGAATTATCTTAACGTTTATTACACTTTTTATTTTGCATATTTAAAAGTTATAAAAATAAATTTGCTTATATTACTGAAAACACTATAAAACAAATCATGATCGAAAAAGTTCGTAGTTCTATTAACTTTTTATTTTACTTAAATCTAGATAGTTATTTAAAACGATATTATAAATACTTTTACTTACATAATATATAATACAAGTAAATTTTGAACATAGCGGAGATCTTTAAAATATTTAAAGTGAAATTTTGAAATTATAATTAAACTTTTATTTTAAATGATTTTAATTATAAGGTGTAAATAATTTTGATTAAATGCTTTTTTCAACCAATTAATTAAATTTCTTTACAAAATATTTAATAATTAAGATGGTAAAAAGTAAGATATTTTTATTAATTATTATTTAATTTTTTGTATAATTGTAAAATTAAAGAAATTATATTTGATTTCATTGCATTTTTATTTTTTTTTGAGATGATTCTCTTTATGCTCTTAATATAATACACTTTAAATAAAATTTTTATTTTAAAAATATTTAATAATTAATATTACAGAATAGAACTTCAAACAGTTCGAATCGGGTCAAAATCCACTTGACTTGACCTGAGCGAATCGTTCATTCAAGTATAACAATTCATTATCATTCAAGTAGAACGATACGTTATCGTTCAAGTAAAACGTTTTAATATCGTTCTAATTGAATATTTTTGTTAAAGATTTTGTTAAATACAATATTTATTATTTTAATTTTATTAATTATTATTTATATTTATTTATATTTTAATCTTTCTAACTGTAACCGGTGGTGATTGTTATCGCATCACGTGATACAATCAAAATTTAAATTTAGCGTTAAAAAATTAAGAATGTATTGTTTCAAATGAATCAAAACGAATTGAGACCAATAAAAATAATGTTTAGAAGCATGACAAGGATTCGGCGACCGAAGGGAGCCCGGCTAATTAAAGAATATTTGCATATACCAAGTTAATCAGAAAAAACTATAATTCTTTGCATATACATATTCCTGATGATGACTTGCGATTGGGAGATTTATGTGCTAAGAACATCCAATTTTCCTAGAGGGACGCTGACGCTGATGATTTAGACCAATCACTTTATTAGATATTGATTCACCAGAATGACTACATTCAAATGTTCTACGGCGGACAATCCCATTGTCAACTTCAATACGTTTATAGCGTAAAGTAAATCAAGTTGTTTCTTTCATATTGGTTTAGTTATACTTCAGCTTCTTCCAATTATGAAAAGAATCCTGACAATTATTTGAATGGTAGATTCAGTTATTTCTTCCATAGATTCAATATGGTTGACTTCCTCATTATCATTTTGAAGTTCTTCTTCAATAGAAATAAATTATTCAAAGCCCAATTACGAAAAAATCAAACATTAAAATCAATGATTTACCTTCCATAATTATATCCATAACAAAACAAAAGGTAAAGAGGGAAAAAAGAAATGATGAAAAGAAAATAGTTTTTCATAGTTTATTTTATTGATTGCATTACGTAATTTTCATATATATTATTTGTCATATAATTCTACCAAATTTATTATTTTAAATAATTAATAATTTAAAATATATTTATTATAATAAAAAAATTAATCATTTAATATTAATTCTTATATTAAAACTTAATAATAATAGTAAAATTTAAATGCCTTATAACTTATATATTTAATATTAGTAAAAACTTTTAATATGAAGACATCAGAGAACATTCTGATTCAAAGATTTTTGAAGTGAGAATTTTGAAATTAATTACTAATAATTATTTATATAATATATGTTATTCTTTATTTTTTAAGTTTCTTACATTTTATAATTTTAATATAAATAAATTGAGTATATCTTTATAATTAAATTAATTTATGTTTTAAAATTTATAATATTTAGTGAAACAAATAATTGAGATTTATTAAATTTATCTTTATTTCTAATAAAATAAAATTAATAATTAAAGTATGTTATGTAGTTTAACTTATATTAACAAATAAATTATATTTGTAATAAAATTTATATAGAAAAAGAAAATATATAAGAATTAGTCATTGGACTTAAGTCAAAAAAAATTAACTCAAGTCAAGTAGAATCAAGAAATTTTATAACTCTAAGAGTGCTCAAGTCAGAATTCAAATATAGGATTCGATCTGACAAGAATTAACATTCGAATACTGTGTATTCGAATACTAACTCGAGTTTATTATTTTTCTTGGGACTGCTATTTCCTAATTTGGAAATTTAGCAAAATATTATTTATTAGCGAAATAACTCAATAACATCTATAATATAAAAAAATCCATATCGATTGGTAACATTTAGATTACCTGTTAAAAAGTTTGAATTGTGTGACCTCGTGAGTTTACCATTTTAGGATAACAACGAATTGTTTAATTGTACAAATAATAATCTTACATTTTATTTTTGTACTGCACTAGATTTTTCTCTTCGTAATGAGACCACGAACGAAGATTTCTGAATAACAAATAATTCTTTTTCACATTAACTAAAAAATGGTCAATTTATCTTTATTCTTAAAATTAAAATAATTAAGTTAATTTATTAAGTGATAAGATAATTAAAATTAGTTAGTGCAAATAATCAACGCGTTATATATCTATCGTTATATCTAAAATACAATCGAAATTTGTTTCAATATTATTAGATCATCTCATTTTTTAACAATATAACTGATTATTATAATTATTAATAAATTTTCGATTGTTTACTTAATATTTTACAACCTTTTTTTTATTAATTTTCCAATTTTTAGTTTTTAATTTTTTCTATTATTATCAAAAAAATACAAAAAAGAAAATGAAGGTTGGATATAGGATTTATCAATGGATCAGAAAGTTACAAAGATTTCTCAAAGACGTCAACAAATTTTTACAAATCTCTTCGGTTTGCATGATTTAGAAATTAATGATTATGCTTTAATATGTAAAAGTAGTGCTCCGTGAGGGTCAGGTCGAGTTGGGTTTAAGGACTATTCGAACTCGAACCCGTTAATAATTAATAAAAAAAAAGAAAAAAAAAAGAAATTTTTTAAAAAAGGTAAAAAAGGTGAAATACTGTACAACTTGCAAAGAACGTAAAATAAAATATCTAATATGAACATGTGAACCTATTAAAATTAATTCATAATATACATATTTTTTACAGAATCTGAATTCGACTCGACCTGATCATTGTTCGACTCAGATTCGACTTGACCTGATTATTGTTTAACCCAGATTCAACTCGAATTTTCAAGGGTAATATTAATGCTGAAAATAAAATACATGTCATAAGGTTTATTTATTTTTAAAATTTATTATTTTTTTTTGTGAGCATAAATACAAATTCCTTTTCTTTTCATCTTTTTCCACCAGAATTTCAAGCACATACAGGCAAATTGCTTTAAGTTCACATCTTTGGTTGATATCAGATCAGTCCCGCCAGAAAAACTCCTACTGGAACATTTATTGCTTTATAAAAAATGTATTAGTTAATTTTTTTTATTTTATCTGTAATTGTTCACTCTGCAATACTTTTCGTTTTCTAGAAAAAGTTGTAATATAACGTCGATGAGTTTACTTATTATTTATTTGTTACAAATTAAAAGTCGCGTAATGTAAAAGTCTTTAGTGCCTGATCATCTGGGTCACCCAGGTCAACCTGGGTCAAGCAAAAACGTTACCCTGACACGGCGGTTTTTTTTTGAATTAGGGCTCATGTCATAAATGTGATAGTTCTGACTCAAGAAAAAAATTAAAGTCGAGTCAAACGACCTGGGTCAACTCGATCGTTTCAGAGCACTATGTGAAAGATGTGTTTTTGACAAGGAAAATATGCATGTAAATATAAATTAATTAGTTTATTACTTACCCATTAAATAAACACTTTTTAAATTAATAAAAAAAAACTTCAAATATTCTACATAATTCAATTACTCATGATAACCTGCTGCAGCGCAGCAGATACAAACTAGTTATTAAAATTAATAAAATAATAATGAAATTATATTTTGTATTTTGTAATCAAAATATTATACTACCATTAAAATATGCATTTAGAAATGTTTAATTGTATTATTGAATTCAGCTTTAAAATTCAAATATTAAATAAGAATTTTCCTTTAAAGCTATGGCGCAATTATTCCTTATTAATTTTGGTGTATAATATAATAACTTTAGTACAAATTTTAGCAATTTTTCAATGAATTAAAATTTAAAAAATTTTTTTTTTTTGTAATCTATAAGATGCCAATATCTTAAATATACATTAACAATGATTTATATTAATGCAATGCAAAATATAACGATCGATTTAATTAAATTTTTTTTTTAAAAAAAATATAAAAACTAATACATTGTATGACTTTTCAGGAATTTCAATAAATTTTATTAATTTTTGTCAAGGACAACATAAATTATGTAAACTCGATTATCTATCTAAAAATACTAAAAAGACACATAGTTCTTTTAAAAATAATTTTTTATCTATTTACTAAGACTAGAATTTAAGTATGGTACCTTAATAAAGTTGCAATTCGAATTAATATTATTCGAGTTTACTCAAATACTTATTTAAATCAAGATTCGTGTCTATAAAATTTTGACTCGAATCAAAATTTAACTCTCGAATTGACTCGAGTCACACGGATACGCGTCAATACTCTATCCGAAAGGTCTGTCAAACCCGGTTTATTGACCGATTCGAATTTTGGGGTCGGATTGAGTCTCTATATTATTGACCCAAGACCTTGGATTATTTACACGAATCAATCGGGTCGAATCGAATTACATAATGGCCGGGTCGGTCAGTGTTGGCAATCCATTTGTACATTGTGATGATGTAATACAAACCACGATTAAACTTAAATGGAAAGAGTTAGAATATCCAAATCGCATGAATTTTAATAAAAACTCTTTCTGAATATAATGACATATACAGGAGGAAAAGCGCCACATTAACTTCATGTTTTGAAGTATTTCACAATGAAAAAGCAAATAAAAATAATACGAAGGCTCTTTGTTTATCTTATATTATATATATAGGATAAGATTTCTTATTAAAAGATAAAAAATAATAAATTTACAATACTCAACGTTATTGTTATAAACATCTTCAAACTTGTCAAAATTTTTTGACTGAACATGAACTTAACGACGTTAATAGAATTTTAGCATTATCAAAATTCATATTACAACAACAACTTCGAAACGGCAATTTATTGGTAAATTTAAATTAAATAATATTTAAATATTTATTTGTTTTAATTAGAAATTGATGATGATCCCGAATTTCTAAATGAAAAATCTGTATCGCGAACTAAAATTTACAATATAACCGAAGAAGATTTGTTTGTTTCTAATTTAGATATTTAATTTTAAAGAATAGTATGATATATTATTTTTTTTTTTTGATAAAAATTGAAATAAATAAAATAATAGTAAATTTTAAATGTTTTTATTAATTGTATATATCAATTGCTTGATCAATAGACAGACAGCATTTTTTGTCCAGTGTTGTCCATCGTCCATTGTCCAGTGATGACAACACTGGGGTCGGTCAGGTTCGGGTTACGACTTTTACATCTGACTAGACTATCATTATTCATAGCTGGGTGATGGGAAGATACCAGGACCAAAATGACGTCGAATTTCACTAGCGGCGCAGAAATTTCCATTTTTAAATAAGAATTGTGATATCAATATCAAATAAAGTCATAATTAATTAGTGTCAATATCATTAGTGCAATACTTTAATATTATATGATTCATTAAACGTTTTACATTTTCTGTCTCAAAATTGAAGCTTCACTATTATGATACTCAATTTTAAAATTTGGACCGATTTCAAATCAACACTTTTACTTAATTTTTGTAATTACCACCGTTATGCACCAACCTTTCATTATTATTTTTATTGTTGTGAAAATTCCAAATTTTATTTAATTTTTGTACGACCCTATTGAATTCCGTTAAAGTATTAATTACGAATTAGTGAGTGATCGACGTATCACTCGATTTTTTTATTTTTTTAAAAAAAATCACATTAGAATAAACTTAAAAATTTATAAAATTTATTATAAATAAAATATAATATGCTGCATTGATATTTGAAAAACTTTTGAGGATTTTTTTCGTTAATCTTTTAAGTATTTTTACAATTTTCATACATTAAAAAATTTTTTTCTGTACATTCTTGTACAAAATCTCGTACGATTGTTTGCCCTATAATCGTCGTCGTGCTACGTGATATCACATCATAAATAAATATAGTACTCCAAATAAATTTTTTTAATAAAAATGAAATTATCTTTTCCTGTTCCGTCAAACAAAAATAAAATAATGAACAAAGCTCCCGCCATATTTTTAATTCTTTTTGGCCTCATTGCTTTATCTAAAGCTGCGGAACACGTAGTTAACGTTGGTACCAAAGAAGGAAAAAATAGATTCGAACCTTACACCGTAAATGCAGCCGTGGGTGATACCGTATGTATAACAATCTTTGAGGTCTCCTTTGCTATAAATTGAATGTCAAAATATCATTTTATTCACAAAATATTTACTTTTATTTCGATAATAATAGGTCAGATTCGTTTGGGTTTCGGGCAAACACAGCGTCATCGAATCAGATGCTAAGAGGGCTTGTTCTGCATCAAAAGCACCCAATGCTTTTACCACAGAAGTATACGAAGCCCCGAAGGAATGGGTACTTGACATTAAAGATGCCAGTGGTCAGAAATGGTTCTACTGCGGTGTTCCCCAACATTGCGCAAATGGTATGGTCGGTACTATTTTAATTGATGATGGGCCGTCTAAAACTCCACCCAAAACTCCAACCGGACCTTCTCCCAAAACCAAAACTGGTTTTGAACCTACTCCTGCATCATCAGCACAACCTTTTCCATTTACAATCTTTATAGTTATTGGATCTATGCTTGGTGGTAGTTTATTAACTGCTGGAATTTTCTTTTTATACCGATGGAACAAAAAGAAAAGCGGAAAAGGGGATGCAGAAAGTCTTACAAATATTCCAAATGATAGAGTCATTATTAACGATAATGAACCAAATAATGAAGTGATTGATAATGAGATTAGAACTCTAGATAATGAAGTTTATAATAATGAGCAAGAGGCAATTCGAAATATTGATAGTGAGGTTATTCAACGTTTGAAAAATGAGATGACACAAATAATAAGGCAAGAAATAAAAAATTTAAAATAACGCAAGTAATCTCATCATTCGATGTCAATCAATTACTCCTGTCGAATTTATGGTGATATTACGAATTTGTCATGTGATAACTCTGTTTGCTATATATTTCTTATATTTTCCATATTATATACTGTAAAAGGGACAGGATTTCGTTTAGCTAAGATGAAAGTAACATAGTGATTAGAATCTGCTAGTTATTAACCGGCTAATTTTAACGGTTAATTATTAACGTTAAAGGCTGATGCAGTTAAATTAATTTCTTATATAAATTTCTTTAGATAGATACAGTAATTGTTTAAAACAATTAGGGTTTAACTTGTTCTATATTGTTTTTATCAAAATGTGTAATTTACGTTTCACATTAAAAAAATTTTTGCCACCATTTTTTAATAAGAACATGCGCAAATACAAACATGCATAAATTCTGATAATCTGGGACCTTTGCAATAGAAAAGAGGGGGAAACTGCCTAAAAAAAATCAATTTTACTTTTATATGATTTTTAGGTCAAAATATGTTCAGATTTAGCATTAACTCATTTTTTATTTATCCAGCCGTTTCCCCTTTCTATTGCAAAGGTCCTATATGATGGAAACATATAACAATTTTGAATGACATAAATTGAGACATTAACTCAAAAATTGCACAAGAAATCGTAATAAACGGACGATTAAATACATTGAGCTTTATTTTAATATTTGTATTCAACGTTTGTCAATAAGTATACACGACGTCATTATGTCAATAAGGTGATTGTAGGTAATCATTTGTCGGTATCTCTATAAACATCGTGTCCTAGTCCAATTCGTTAAGATTATTTTACAATTATGTTGGTATAAATAACGTCATCATTATTCAATAACATTTATCAATTATAAGTTCATACAAAGTAGGTGGTGATAAATGTATGAAAAAGGATAGAAATGTTTTGAAGAGCATACAATTATTAGAGAAATGCTGTCAAGGATAAATTTATTATTATTTAGTATCAAAGTACGTTGAAAAAATATCTCGCAAAGGCCAAGAATTATTCAAAGAACCGGCGGATGGTGAAAATGCAGATGCTCATTTACGTTATGCTATTGTTTATTAGTAGGAATAAATAATAACATACAGGTATCATGTAGTACGGTCATGATTTCCAATTTTACCTACGAACAAATTCATTCAGGTGTTTGTTATCGTTATTACTTTAAAGTCTTCAATAGACGCCATTTGTTTAAGATTTAGGAGTATAGGCGTGGAATTTCTTGGAAAGTCATTGTATATTGATATGTTTTATATTTAGCTATGAAGCTTCCTGTATTTTTACCTTCGTGCAGAAAAAGTTAATATAATTTCTACTTACTGTTACAATTGAAGGTAATTCCGGCCGAAATCTTCATAATTCCGCATGAAAATCGCTTTCGATATTTACAGTTAGTTCTTTGAAGATCATTTTCCAGTGGGGTAAATTAAAAATTCTTAATTTTAAAAATTAAGATTTAATCTTCCCCTCATATTTACCCCCTACACACAGGCTGGTACGGTGCCAGGATGTCAAGGTGCCTGTATGACAAAGTGTTCAAGATGCCAGGCTGGCTCAATTTTTTTTTTTTTATATATACAAGCTGGAAATCCTTAAACAGCTCAATATCCACGCTAGCCCTTGTTATATTTCTTTGTATATATTCCCTTCGAAATCCTTCCTTTAACACTTCGCTTTCTCTGTTTTAACCTTTAAATTTCGTAGTAGCAACTTCGTTTATTATCTTTTTAATTTCCGATTTTATTATTTTGTAATATTTCCGTAATTGCGCAGTTTTAATTAATTAGAATTTGGCATTTACTCAGTTTAATTTATTGATAAAGAGAAAGTGTAAAGCGCCGATGTTGAGGCAACAATGATTAATTTGATAATATTAAATAAATACTTGTCATAATTACTTCATTTTACTTAATAAATATTCAATTTTATTCAATCAATACCTACTGCTTACGATACAAATTGTTTATAAACACATAAATTAAAGAACTGAATACAACTGCACAATGAAAAATCTAGTCACTCACCAATCGCGTGACATTACAAACCAATATGGCTTTCGCCTAAAAAAATTCTAGACGGATTAAATGAGTGGTTGACAAATAACGGGTCACCTATAAAGATCGCACTATTTCCGTAATTGCTTATAATGATGTCATTCCTTTTAAGGTTCATAATTCGAAACAATTATGCCGAAATCACATCATTTAATTTTCTGAATTCATTTTCGTCTGTAGATATTTATAAAAACTTAGTTGGGTTATTAAACTTTATTCTAACGACGAAAATAACGGGAAAAAAAATATAAATTGGACACTTTACAAATCGTTTGAATTAAATAAAAAATAAAAAAAAAATAAATCAAAAAAACTTATCTATGAATCCAAAGCAAAAGTAGCAAAATATAAATTAATCATTATAAAATAATCAAAGAAGCCATTTTATGTATCCAGCTCGAAGAGAATTCAAAATAAAAGGAAATGTATGCAAAAAGAATCGCTGTGACCGAACTAGAACTTTATACATGCGGAAGAATCCTAATTTGAAAGAGTAAATTAAAAGGTGCAATATCTGAAAGTAATAGCACGGACCAATCCCAGAAACTAAAAGAAAAAAAATAAATAAATGAAAATCAAATCATTCTTACAGAAAGAAATTTATATTTACAACGTCAGGCATAACTTCGTTATCGGCTGAAGCTTGTGAAACAGTTCTTTATTAGCAAATATAGATTAACTCCCTTTAATAAATAAAGTAAGAGTCAGATTTCTTTAAACGACATCGGACGTTTGAATCCTTGAACCTTGTTACTATCATATATATTTTCAGCACTAATATTATTTCCTTTTTAATATTTTATCATCAAAACCCATAGCCCATATGTATTATGATACGCTATAAAAATTTATAATAATAAATAAAAAATTTTTATTTTATTACATTTGCTTTTCTTTATTTTTTGGAATTGTAAGACTGAACACTAGTATTTGTGTATGAAGGTTAAGTTCTTATCCGCAATATTATAGCTGCACTGAAATTATTTTTGAATTTAATTTAAAATAACTTTCGGTTGATAATTGACCATCACCCTCGGACGTTCATACTACCTCAATATCTTTTTAAGTTACTCAGCCGCAACTACCATTTAAATATATCACATTAAAAAAGTTAATGAGCATTGCAAAATGTTTATTAATAATTGAATTAAATTTACACTTAACTAAAATTGCCTGTTATTATTTGACTAGAACAAAATTATAGATCAAATAATCTGATTTTATAAGCCATGGTTCTTTTATTTGCTTGATTGATTTCATCGGCTGGTACCGATAATTATTTAAAACTTAAAAATTTACAAATTAAGAGAAACTTTGTTAACTTTCTTAATTTATTGAAATAAATTTGTAATAAAAATTTCTATTCCTATTGCTGCAGGTAGACACATTTTCAAAGTTTCATGTATGAATGTATCTGAGATAAAATTCTTATTATTAATAATTTGATTATTTGTTAAATTATCAAGGATTTATAAGTGATAACCAAGGAAAATATTGTCAACGAAAACTGATTTTAAAAAATAGTCATTTTATATGAAACCAATTTAGAACAATGAAATTCACTTCTGGAGAAGTATTTAAACATGGAAGTTCAAAAATGTTGGTCATGATAATTAAAGAAATCTTTTGACAATTCTAAATATTTTTTATTTTAAAAATAAACCAAACACAATTAAAGTGAAATTATCCGTAATTGCATGCAAACGTTAAGGAAATCACCAATAATATTCTTTTTATCTTATAGATTCATTGTATTCATTGTAAATACATTTGAGGTTATTATCAAGTGAAAAGATTGAATCCTAACTACACTAGACTTCAATTATTTCAATAGGTCTTGTCATCAAAATATGTTACTACATATTAATATTATAATATAATATATGGGACTTGTGTAATAGAAAGGGGAAACTGCCATTAAAAATATAAAATGAGTTTATGCTATATTTTGGCCTAGAAATTATATATAAAATTGATTTTTTCCCATTACTATTTTAAAAGTCCCACATGTCAAAATTAATTTCAAAAAAGTTTCGTTACCAATTCCATCATACTTCCATAGATTTTTTTTAATTGAACTTTTATCAAACTACAAATAGCCCTTGCTTATTACATGTTGGTTGAAATCATTCAGACTTTTTAAGTGTATTTAAAGATTGAGCACTTTAATTGTTTCTAACAATATCAATTACAGTAACTAAAATAGTTGAAGCGGTAAAGTATTTACATAGCTTTAGTAAAGAATTCAATGATCTCCTCAAGAACTTTATCATAAAATCAGTAGACCCACTGTATAGAGATCTAAGAGGAATATATTGAATTTTGAATTTTCTTCAAACCTTCATGATTTTTGCGCAGATTTATGCAGTAACTTTGAAGTTGCCAAATACTAGTTTATTTACTACTTTAAATTTCCATCAAATCTGACGCAACTATATAAACCCGATTAAGGTTGCCGGGCAAAACCCCGAGGTTTCGACAGGCATCGAAATCGAAACCCATCGAAACATTTTGCCAAATTTT